CAATTTGTTGTTGAAATTGATTTGCTAGTATTTTGTTGAGGATTTTTACATTACTGCCCATCAAAGCTATTGGCCTACAGTTTTCTTTCTTTTGATGTGTCTTTTTAGAATTTAGGTATCAGGGTAATACTGGCCTCTTAGAATAAGTCTGGAGGTATATCCTCCTTTTTTGTTTTTTTTGGAATAGTTTTTGAGTAGCATGGGTATTAATTCTTCTGAAATATTTGGTAAAACTCAGCAATGAAGCCATCGGGTCTCAGGCTTTCATTTGCTAGGAGAATTTATATTATCATTTTGTCTCATTACTTGTTATTGATTTATTCATGCTTTGGATTTCTTTATGGTTCAATCTTGGTAGTTTGTATTGTCTAGATATTTATCCATTTCTTTTAGGTTTTTAGATTTATGAGCATATAGCTACTCATAGTAATCTCTAATGATCGTTTGATTTTTTTTGCAGTATCAGTTGTAATGTTTCTTTTTTTGTCTTTCATTTTATGTATTTGGGTCTTCTTTTTTCTTAGTCTGGTGAAGATTTGTTGATTTTGTTTATATTTTCAAAAAACAAACTTTTAATTTTGTTGATCTTTTGCATATTTTTGTTACAATTTCATTTATTTTGCTCTAATTTTCGTTTTATTCTACTAATTTTCAGTTTGCTTCACTCTTGCTTGCCTAGTTCTTTAAGATGCATGATTGTATTGTTTATTTGAAGGTTTTCTACTTTTTTGATGTAGATGCTTTTTACTATAAACTGTCCTCTTACTACTGCTTTTGCTGTGCCTCATAGGTTTTACTATATTGTGTTTCCATTTTCATTTGTTTTGTAGAAATTTTTAAATTTCCTTCTTAATTTCTTCATTGACCCATTGGTCATTCAGAAGCATATAGTTTACCTTCCATGTGTTTGGTTAATTTCTAAATTTCCTCTTGTAATTGCTTTCTAATTTTATTCCATTGTTGTCGGGGGAGATGCTTGATATGATTTCTAATTTTTGGAATACTTAAAAACTTATTTTATAGTGCAATGTATGATCTATCCTTGAGAATGATCCATGTGCTCAGAAGATGTTGTATTCTGCAACCATTGTATGAAATGTTCTATAAATGTCTATGAGGTCCATTTGCTCTATAATGCAGAATAAGTCTGCTTTTTCTTTGTTGATATTGGAAGGTCTGGATGGTCTGTCTAATGCTGAAAGTAGAGTGTTGAAGTCTCCCGCTATTATTGTATTGAGGTCTATCTCTCTCTTTAATAATATTTGCTTTATGTATCTGAGTGCTTATGTTGGGTGAATATATATTTATTATTGTTATATTCTCTTACTGAATTGACTTCATTATCACCATATAATAAACTCTTTTACTTTTCCTATAGTTTTCATTTTGAAATATACTTTTTCTGATGTAAGTATAGCAAATTCTGTTCCTATTTTCTTCCCATTTGCATGGAATATTCATTTCCATCCATTTATTTTCACTCTATGTGTGTCTTTATAGGTGAAGCGTGGTTTTTTTTTTTGTTTGTGTGTTTTTTTTTTTTTTTTTTTTTTTGGTAGGCAGTGGATAATTAGTTCTTTTATTTTTAATTATCCATTCAGCCACTCTATTTCTCTTGATTGGAGAATTTAGTTCATTTACATTCAGTGCTATTATTTATAAGTAAGAACTTATGCCTGCAATTTTGTTATTTGTTTTCTGGTTGTTTTGTGGTCTTCTCTTCCTTCCTTCCTTTCTGTTCTTTGTGTGAAAGTGATTTTTCCCTGTAGTATTTTTTAATTAATTTCTTTTTATTTATGTGTATCTCTTGTAGGTTTTTTTTGATTTGAGGTTACCATGAGGCTTGCAAGCAATGTATTATAACCACTTATTTTTAAATTATGACAACTTAACTCTGATCTAAAAACAAACTAAGAAACCAAAAACCAAGCAACAAGAAAACTATTAAAAATTCTACACTTTAGCTTTATCCCCCTACTTCTTAAAATTTTGTTGTTCCTGTTGATATCTTTTTATACAACATCTTAATAAGTAGTTGTTATTATTTTGAATAGATTTATCTTTTAGTCTCCCTACTGATGATACAAGTAGTTTGCACAGCACAATTACACTGGTATAATATTCAGTATTTGGCTGTACATTTACTATTACAAGTGAATTTTGTACCTTCAGATGATTTCTTCTTGGTCATTAACATTTCTTTATTTCAGACCGAAGAACTCCCTTTAGCATTTCTTGTAGGACAAGCCTGGAGTTTATAAAATCCCTAAGTTTTTGTTTGTCTGGAAAACTCTTTATTTCTCTTTATGTTTGATGGATACTTTTGCTGGATGTGATATTCTGGGATAAAAGTCTTTTCCTTTCAGCATTTTATATATGTCATGGCACTCTCCAGGCTTGTAAGATTTCCACAGAGAAATATGCTGCCAAATGTATTGGAGCTCCCTTAAATGTAGTTTTTTCTTATCTCTTGCTGTTTTTAGAATCCTTTCCTTATTCTTGACCTTTGGAAGCTTGATTATTAAGTGTGCCCAGTTAGTCTTGAGTTAAAACATCTTGGTGTTCTGTAACCTTCTTGTACTTGAATACTGATATCTTTCTCTAGGTTTGTAATGTTCTCTATTATCTTTTTGAGTAAATTTTCTACCCAGATCTCTCTCTCAACCTCCTCCTTATGACCAATAACTCTTACAATTTGAAGCTAAATTCCAGATCTTATATGCATGCTTCTCTCTTTTTTATTGATTTTCTGTTGCCTCCTCTATGTTTTTTCAAATAGACTGTCTTCAAGTTTCTGAATTCTTTCTTCTGCTTGATTAGTTCTGCTGTTTAGACTCTCTGATGCATTTTCAGTTTGTCAAATAAATATTTTAGCTCCAGAATTCCTGCTTTTTTTTTTTTTTTTTTTTTTCCCCGGAGTCTCGCTCTGTCACCTAGGCTGGAGTGCAGTGGCGCGATCTCGGCTCACTGCAAGCTCCACCTCCCTGGTTCACGCCATTCTCCTGCCTCAGTCTCCCGAGTAGCTGGAACTACAGGTGCCCACCACCACACTCAGCTAATTTTTTTTTTTTATTTTTAGCAGAGACAGTGTTTTACCGTGTTAGCAAGAATGGTCTCGATCTCTCTGCCCGTCTCGGCCTCCCAAAGTGCTGGATTACAGGTGTAAGGCACCGCACCCGGCCAATTCCTGCTTGGTTTTAAAAATTATTTCAATTTCTTTGTTAAATGTATCTGACAGGATTCTGAATTCCTTATCTGTGTTATATGGAATATTATTGAACTTCCTCAAAACAACTATTTTGAATTTCCTATTGGAAAGGCCACATATCTCTGTCACTCCAGAATTGGTCATGGTTCCTTATTGAGTTTGTTTGATGAGGTCACGTTTTCCCATATAATCTTGATGTTTGTAGATGTCTGCCAATGTCTAGGCATTGAAAAGTTAGGTATTTAATGTAATTTATACAGTCTTGACTTCTTTATACCCATTCTTTTTAAGAAGGTTTTCCAAGTATTCAAAGGGAGTTGACTGTTGTCATTTAAGTCTTTGGTTACTGAAGCCATATGTTCATTAGGGGGCACTCCAAGCCCAGTAATGCTGTGACTTTTGTAGACTCATAGACATACCATCTTGGTGGTCTTGGGTAAGATCCTGGAGAACTTTCTGAGTTACAAGGCACTGTCTCTTATTGTCTTCCTTTACATTTCCCCAAACAAATGGAGTCTCTCTCTCTCTCTCTCTCTCTCTCTCTCTCTCTCTCTCTCCATGATGAGCCACCTGTAGTTGGTTGGAGGGGGGGAGGGGTGGTGGTGACACAAACACTCCTGTGGCCACCACCACTGGGACAGTGCTGAGCCACAGCTAAAGCTAACACAGTACAGGGTCTCACCCACAGCCTGTGGCAACTATTGCCTGGCTACCATTAATGTTTATTCAAGACCCAAAGCTCTTTAGTGAGCAGGTGGTGAAATCTGCCAAGGCAGGGTCTCCCTTCAGGGCAGGGAGTTCTCTTCTGGCTTTGGGTGGGTCTAGAAATGTTGTCCTAAAGCTTTTGGCCTGAGATTGGGGCTTCAGGGCTCTATAGGGTTTTATCTTACTATGACTCTGCTGGTTTCCAAGTTGCAAGACAAAGTCTTCTTTACTCTTCCTTATGCTTTCCTCAAGCTACCTGGAGTTGGGGGAGAGGTAATGCAAGCAAGTTCTTGGCCACCATAGCTGATGTCTCACTGGCTCCCATGTATCCCAAGCCCACTGGCTCCAATCCCAGTACAACACCAGGACTTGCCGAGGAATTTTGGTTCTTGTAACCTAGACTTCCTTTCAAATTTATTTAGGACCCCAAAGAACTTTAGTCCATGGTTGTGGGGCTAGATGGAACTCAGGTTCTGACTGGTAGGGTGGATGATTTCCAACTGGCTAGGTCTGGTCTGAATGCTCCCTCCATGGTTACCAGGTGAATTCTGCTCTGGGTTTGTTGACACTGTAACATGGCAACACTGAATTCCAATGTAAAGTCTCACAATCACTTCACTGTCCCTCCCTCAAGCACACAAACTATCTCTCCCAGCGCCATATGGAACTACCATGGGATGAGGGAGGGACAGTGTAGGCAATTCAAGACTGTCTTTTCTACCTCCTCAATGCCATTTTGCTTAATATGATGTCAAAACTATGTATTGTTATAACTCACCTGTATTTTGGTTCTCATTTATGTGTTTTTCGTGTAAATAGTTATTCAGTTTGGTTTTTCTGTGGGGGGACAGTCACTGGACGGTTCTATTCAGTCATATTGCACTGCCTTTTACTGTAGTGCTTTTTGTTTGTTTCTGTTTAAAAGTGTTGCACTGTATCGTGTTTATGGAGTGCTTCACTAGAAGTCACTGTGAGTATTCTCATTCATAAAAGTTAACTGGGCCGGGTGTGGTGGCTCATACTTGTAATCCCAGCACTTCGTGAGTCTGAGGCAGGTGCACCATTTGAGGTCAGGAGTTCGAGACCAGCCTGACCAACATGGTGAAACCCCATCTCTACTAAAAATGTAAAAATTAGCGGGGCGTGGTGGTACATGCATGAAAACCTAGCTACTCAGATAGCTGAAGCAGGAGACTTGTTTGAATCTGGGAGGCAGAGGTTGCAGTGAGCTGAGATCATGCCACTCCACTCCAGCAAGACTCTGTCTCAAAAGAAAAAAAAAAAAGTTAACTGACAGAAAACCTATCCACATATTCTCAAGCAGCTAAAAAGACATGTTGGCAACCCTTCCAAGGATTAGATTGTTTTTCCACCCTCAACATGATACTTTATTTGCTTCTCCAGAATATTTCTGTCTCAGAAAAAAGAAAACGAACTACCTTGCATTTCCAATGGAAACAGCTTGTGGAACGTTAGAAAGAATGAGCAAGGTAAATTCACTGTTTTACCCACGTACACAAATATAAACACTTGGGGAAGGTTTCTCATCCAAATAATTTTGAAACTTCCAAAACTTTTACTCATGTCTGAAAGCTGTGCTCACTAATAATGTCTTGCCTTTTGCTATAGACTTACTGTTAATGTTTCCTCAAAATTCTTATGTTCAAACTTGAATTTCCAATGTGATGTTATTTGGAGGTAAGCCTTTGGGAGATAATTAGATTTAGATGAAGTAAAGAGGGTAGTTCCCCATCATGATGGGAATATATATATATATATATGGAAGACACCAGGGGCTTTCCCTTCTCAGCCATGCGAGAATACAATAAGAAGACAGCTGTCTGCAAACCAGGGAGTGGGCCTTCACCAAACTGAATCTACTGCACCTTGATTTTGGACACCATAGCCTCCAGAACTGCGAGAAAGAAATGTCTATTGTTTAAGTTACACAGTCTATAATATTTCGTTATAGCAGCCTAAACTGAGACATCCTTACATGCTGATTTTAATGTTTTACACACACATACACATACACACACACATACAGCAAAACAACAACAAAAAGGAGGAAAAGTATTGTTTAGATTATTTTATACTGAAGGGAAGGGACAACTAAAACTCAAGCGAGTTTGGAAAATTGCCTAAGGTCATACAGCCAATGGTGAAAGAAATGTTACCAGGTCAGTAAGGGTAGGAACAATCTCTGTTTCAGATATCAGTGCCTTCTTTAGACCTGAAGGTTAAAGATAAAAGTGAAAGCCCCAGATGACTTAAGCCATAGACTAAAGAGAGAGATACAGACACAGAAGAAAAGAGGAAAGAAGAAGGGAAAATAAACACAAATGCAGGTGGGGAAAGAGGCACATGCATTGAAGAGTTAGAAAGCCAATGGTCATGGCCTCAGTCAGAGTTATCCCCCTGGCATTTAAATACATATTTCACCTTGATCACAGGCTATCCTATCGACTGAAAATCCTTACAGACCTAGTACCCCTTAAATATGTATTTTTTTGCATAACAGGCAACTTTCTTCAAACTACTATCTATTTCATAAAGTAAATAAAAGCCAATCTCAATGAAACCTTCTTCAGTGATAGATAACTTTCTTCTATAAGAATGCGGTCCCATTGTTAAAAAGTGTTGGTTTTATATTGTAAGCTGAAAACGATCTCCACCTAACTTCCAGATATTGATCCTATTCCTTCCTTCTAAAGAATCAGCTTCCTCCACTCTCACACATGACAGCCATTTTTTATATGAGAACAGCAGACATGCTTTTCTCTCCCCTTCTCCAGCATCAAAGTTTTCACTTCCCAGGATATTCATCTTTGGTATTATAATATATTCTTTATGAAGCCTGCTTTCAGCCCCTTACTATGATCACATTTCTCTGGATGCTTGAATTTATTTAAGTCTGTCATTAAATGTGACATCCAAATTTATCTGACTAACATGAAGTGGAACAAGAATACCAGATTCTTAAGTATTTTGCTAGCTTCTGGATAACCACATTACACTGTAGAGTTGTCATACTCAAAGTTATTCCTTAAACATGAGTTGTTATCAAGCCAACTATCTTCATATCAAACTTGTACAATTATCTTACTGAACCTAAATGTAGTATTTACGTTAGTTAAAATTTGTTTAGTTTTTGTTTTTCCATATTTCATAATATTTAAATAATTCTAAACTGATTGGTTCCTGTTTCACAAATACTTTTAGCAGGCATTGTTATTACAGAATAATTAGAAGTATTAGATTAGGGAAAGGAAAGTAGATGCTAATGCAGAATCATGAAATTACAGCTGATGAAAATTTTAAAAAGAAACACTCCAAAAATCAAACATAGGAATTAAAGAAGCAATCTTAGTCCTTAAGCATTCACTGTAGGAGTAAAGGGCCCTACATACCTCATGGTGTTTTGCTGTATTTATAGGCCACATGGTAACAGGTTTGAGCCATTAGGACAGCCTTCTCTTATGTTAACTGTCCTGTATTAAATAAGGCAGTCATATAACAGTCTTGGCAAATGGCCTTGCTTAAAAATATTTTAGTGCCTCTAGTGGGTTGAATGGTGGCCACCAAAAAGATATGCCCACATATTAATTCCTAGAACTTGTGAGTGATAAGTTATTTGGGAAAAGGGGTCATTGCATATCCTATTAAATTAAACATTTAGAACTGAGGAGATTATCCTGGATTATCTCAGTGACAAGTATCTTTACAGGATTAAAAAAAAGAGGAAACATATACATAGAGAAAAGGGCAATATAAAAATGGAGGCAGAGAGTGGAGTACTTTAATGAGACTGTGAGCCAAGGAATGCTAAGAATTGTGGGAATCCATTAGAAACTAGGAGAAATAAGCATGGAATGGACTCTCAGCTAGAACCTTGGGAGAGAGTGCAAACTTGGAGACACAGACTTTGAGTTTGTGGCCTCCAGAACTATGAGAGAATTAATTGCTCTTGTTTCAAGCCACTGAGTTTGTGGTAATCGGTAACTCCCTGTCTAGAAAACTACTACAGTGCTTAAAGTGCTAAATATCACTACCTGGAAAATTTATTTACAATGCAAATTGTTTAAAACTATATAAATGAACAATTATAGGTAAAGAATCAATATAATAATAATATTAATTACACAATCTGAACAACATAGTATCATCATTATTTTAACCAATAAAATGAACTTACTCAACATATAATGAAACAATATTTACTCATTTATCTGTGCAACAATTTATCCATCTATACATTCATCAGTTTAGCCCACCATCCAGTCAGTATTTATCTAAACATTGTTGAGTTTAACCTTAAATGAAAATTATTGCATGAGTTTATCCATCAATGTTGTTGATCACAAACATATTTTATAGGTTGTGATAATTTCGATCACCCAGATGCTTGCAAATACCTGAATATTAAGAGTTATGTAGGGCAGAGCAAGATGGCTGTGCAGAAGCCTATACCATTCATCCCCCACAAGCAGGAAAACCAAATTTTAACAACTAACTACACACAAAAAACACTATCACAAAAACTAAACACCAGGTAAACACACACAGTACTTGGGTTTTACTTCATATCACTGAAAGAGGCACTGAAGAGAGTAGGCAGTCACTCTTGAATGGCCAATGTCACCCTTTACCCAACCCCTGGCAGTAGCCACATGGCAAGAGAGAATCTACCCTTGTGGGAGGGAGAGTGCAGCAAGTAGGGTACTTTACATTCAACTTAGGGCTACCCTGTCACTGCAGAGAGAAAACCTGTGCTAGGCTCAGCAGGCACGCACGCACAGAAAGTACATTTTGACTAACCCTAGCCAGAGGCGAATCACCCATCTCAGCGGTCAGAAGCTGAGTTTCTTGGCAGGTCTCTTCACCACAGGACAAAGTGCTCTGGAATCCTAAGTAAACTTGAAAGGCAATCCAGGACACAAAGACGGCAATTACTGGGCAACTAATGGTGCTGGGTTGGGGTTAGAGCCAGTGGACTAGGGTGGCATGTGACCTAGAAAGAGAGCAGATGAGGTGACTAAGTGAGTGCTTGAGCCTCACATTCCCAACCCTATGCAATGCTTCTGGCAGTAAGAAAGGTAATTCCTTGTTTCTGCTTGAGGAAAGGACAGGGAAGGGTAAAGAGGAAAAGTAAAGAGGACTTCGTCTTGCATCCTGGATATCAGCTTAGCCACAATAGGAAAGGGCAGTGGGCAGAGTTGTGAGATTTCCCTTCCAGGACCTACCTCTTGGATGACATTTCTAGACACACCCTTGGTCAGAAGGGTGGAACCCATGACCTTGATGGGAAGGGCCAAGTTGTGGCAGGATTCATCAACTGCTGACTAAAGAACCCTTGGGCCATGAATAACCAGCAGCAATACACAAATAGTATATGGACTCACCCGGCACCAGGTAGCACTCTGTGGGACTTGGGCTCTGGGACACGCTTGCTTCAGGTGTGACTCAGCACATTCCCAGCTGTGGTGACTGTGGTGAAAGCCTCCTTCTGTTTGAGAATAGCAGAGAGAAAAGTAGCAGAGACTTTGTCTTCCACCTTAGGTTCCAGTTCAGCCATAGAAGGTAAAGAATTAAGTGGGATCTTGGCACTTAGGTCCAAGCCTAGACTCTTGGACAGCATACCTGGACCTCCCCTGGCCCATAGGGAAGCACACTGCCCTTAAGTGTGAGTCCCAGGCCAGGCAACATTCATCATAAGCTGAATGATAAGCTCTTGGACCACATCACTGGTGGCCTGGGAGAAACCCCCATTGGCTGGTGGTGGTAGTGACCAGAGAGAGAAAGAGAGACTCCTTCACCTGTGGAAATGGGTGGGTAGAGTGGGAAGGACTTTGTTTTGTGGTTTGAGGGACAGCTTAGCCACAGTAGAATAGAACAACAGGTAAATTTCTAATGTTTTTGACTCCAATCTCTGGCTCCCAGACACCATCTCTGGACACACTCAGGTCCTGGGGGAACTCACTGGTCTAAAAAGAGAGATACAAACATCGGTGGCTTTGCCACCTAATGATTGATTGTAGAGCCCTGCAATCTTGAATGACTATAAGTAGTAGACAGGTAGTGGTTGCAGTGGGCCTTGGACAAGCCCCAGTGAAGTGTTGGTTTCAGGTCTGAAGCCTTGGACAAGACCCAGTGAAGTGTTGGTTTCAGGTCTGAAGCAGCAAAGTCCCAATAGTGCTTTGCACATGGGTGCTTTTTTTCCCCCACCCCCTTTTTCATGCAGTTCCAGCACAGAGATACTCTGTTATTTGGAAGAAAGTAAGGAAAAAGTACAAGAGTCTTGGCCTGACAATCAAGAGAATTCTTCTGGATCTTATCCAAGACCACCATGGTTGTATGACTATGAGTCTTGATACAGTTTGGTTGTGTCCTCACCCAAATTTCATCTTGAATTGTAGTTCCCATAATCCTCATATATCATGGGATAGGCCAGGTGGAAATAATCGAATTATGGGGGAGATTTCTCATATCCTGTTATGATAGTGAGTTAGTTCCCATGAGATCTGATGGTTTTATAAGGGGCTTCTCACTTCACTGGGCACTCATTCTCTCCCATGCCATCCTGTGAAGAGGTGCCTTCCACCATGATTGTAAGTCTCCTGGGGCCTCCCTACCTGTACATAACTGTGAGTCAATTAAAGCTCATTTCTTTATAAATTACCCAGTCTTGTGTTTGTCGTTATAGCAGCATGGCAACAGACTAATACAGTAACTTGGTACCACATAGAGTGGGGTGTTGCAATATGGATACAAAAAATGCAGAAGCAACTTTGGAACTGGGTAACAGGCAGAATTTGTAAGAGTTTAGAGGGTTCAGAAGAAAAAAGAAAGATGTGGGGAGGTTCGTAAATTCCTAGAGACTTGTTCAATGAGTTTGACCAAAATGCTGATAGTGATATGAATAATGAAGTCCAGACTGAAGTGGTCTCAGATGGAGATGAGGAACTTGTTGGGAACAGGAACAAAGGTGACTCTTGTTATGCTTTAAAAAGAGACTGGCAACATTTTTCCCCTTCCCTAGAGATCCATGGAACTTTGAACTCGAAAGAGATGATTTAGCATGAAGGGCTGTTGAACTATGTCAAAGGCCTTCTCAGCATTTATTGAGATAATCATGTGGTTTTTGTCTTTGATTCTGGTTATATGCTGTATGACGTTTATTGATTTGCATATGTTGAACCACACTTGCATCCCAGGGATGAAGCCCATTTGATTCTGATGGATAAACTTTTGGATGTGCTGATGGATTTGGTTTGCCAGTATTTCATTGAGGATTTTTGCATCGATGTTCGTCAGGGATATTGGTCTAAAATTCTCTTTTTTTGTTGTATCTCTGCCAGGCTTTGGTATCAGGATGATGCTGGCCTGATAAAATGAGCTAGGGAGGATTCCCTCTTTTCTATTGATTGGAATGGTTTCAGAAGGAATGGTACCAGCTCCTCGTTGTACTTCTGGTAGAATTCAGCTGTGAATCCGTCAGGTCCTGGACTTTTTTTGGTTGGTAGGCTCTTAATTATTGCCTCAATTTCAGAGCCTGCTATTGGTCTATTCAGGGATTCAACTTCTTCCTGGTTTAGTCTTGGGAGGATGTATGGGTCCAGGAATTTTTCCATTTCTTCTAGATTTTCTAGTTTATTTGCATAGAGGTGTGTAGAGTACTCTCTGATGGTAGTTTGTATTTCTGTGGGGTCGGTGGTGATATCCCCTTTATCATTTTTTATTGCATCTATTTAATTCTTATCTCTCTTTTTCTTTATTAGTCTTGCTAGTGGTCTATCAATTTTGTGGATCCTTTCAAAAAACCAGCTCCTGGATTCATTGATTTTTTGGAGGGTTTCTTGTACCTCTATCTCCTTCAGTTCTGCTCTGATCTTAATTATTTCTTACCTTCTGCTAGCTTTTGAATGTGCTTGCTCTTGCTTCTCTGGTTCTTTTAATTGTGATGTTAGGGTGTCAATTTTAGATCTTTCCTGTTTTCTCTTGTGGGCATTTAGTGTTATAAATTTCCCTCTACACACTGCGTTAAATGTGTCCCAGAGATTCTGGTACGTTGTGTCTTTGTTTTCATTGCCTTTCATGCTAAAAACTCTCAATAAATTAGGTATTGATGGGACATATCTCAAAATAATAAGAGCTATTTGTGACAAACCCACAGCCAATATCATACTGAATGGGCAAAAACTGGAAGCATTCCCTTTGAAAACTGGCACAAAACAGGGATGCCCTCTCTCACCATTCCCATTCAACGTAGTGTTGGAAGTTCTGGCCAGGGCAATCAGACAGGAGAAAGAAATAAAGGGTATTCAATTAGGAAAAGAGGAAGTCAAATTGTCCCTGCTTGCAGATGACATGACAGTATATTTAGAAAACCCCATCGTCTCAGCCCAAAATCTCCTTATGCTAATAAGCACCTTCAGCAAAGTCTCAGGATACAAAATCAATGTGCAAAAATCACAAGCATTCTTATACGCCAATAACAGACAAACAGAGAGCCAAATCATGAGTGAAATCCCATTCTGAATGGCTTCAAATAGAATAAAATATCTAGGAATCCAACTTACAAGGGATGTGAAGGACCTCTTCAAGAAGAACTACAAACCACTGCTCAAGGAAGTAAAAGAGTACAAAAACAAATGGAAGAACATTCCATGCTCATGGATAGGAAGAATCAGTGACATGAAAATGCCCATACTGCCCAAGGTAATTTGTAGATTCAATGCCATCCCCATCAAGCTACCAATGACTTTCTTCACAGAATTGGAAAAAAAAAAAAAAAAAAAAAAAAAAAAAAAATCTTTAAAGATCATATGGAACCAAAAAAGGCCATGCATTGCCAAGACAATCCTAAGCCAAAAGAACAAAGCTGCAGGCATCACGCTACCTGACTTCAAACTATACTACAAGGCTATAGTAATTAAAACAGCATGGTACTGGTACCAAAACAGAGATATAGACCAATGGAACAGAACAGAGCCCTCAGAAATAATACCACGCATCTACAACCATCTTATCTTTGACAATCCTGACAAAAACAAGAAATGGGAAAAGGAATCCCTATTTATTAGATGGTGCTGGGAAAACTGGCTAGCCATATGTAGAAAGCTGAAACTGGATCCCTTCTTTACACCTTATATAAAAATTAATTCAAGATGGATTAGAGACTGAAATGTTAGACCTAAAACCATAAAAACCGTAGAAGAAAACTTAGGCAATACCATTCAGGATATAGTCATGGGCAAGGACTTCATGTCTAAAACACGAAAAGCAATGGCAACAAAAGCCAAAATTGACAAATGGGATCTAATTAAACTAAAGAGCTTCTGCACAGCAAAAGAAACTATCATCAGAGGAAACAGGCAACTTACAGAATGGGAGAAAATGTTTGCAATCTACTCATCTGACAAAGAGCTAATATCCAGAATCTACAAAGAACTCAAACAAGTGTACAAGAAAAAAACAAACGACCCCATCAAAAAGTGGACGAAGGATATTTTCAGACACTTCTCAAAAGAAGACATGTATGCAGCCATCAGACACATGAAAAAATGCTCATCATCAGTGGCCATCAGAGAAATGCAAATCAAAACCACAATGAGACACCATCTCACACCAGTTAGAATGGCGATCATTAAAAAACCAGGAAACGACAGGTGCTGGAGAGGATGTGGAGAAATAGGAACACTTTTACAATGTTGGTGGGACTGTAAACCAGTTCATCCATTGTGGAAGACAGTGTGGCAATTGCTCAAGGATCTAGAGCTGAAAATACCATTTGACCCAGCCATAACATTACTGGGTGTATAGCCAAAGGATTACAAATCATGCTGCTATAAAGACACATGCATGCGTGTGTTTATTGTGTCACTATTCACAATAGTAAAGACTTGGAACCAACTCAAATGTCCATCGGTGATAGACTGGATTAAGAAAATGTGGCACATATACACCACGGAATACTATGCAGCCATAAAAATGGATGAGTTCATGTCCTTTTTAGGGACATGGATGCAGCTGGAAACCATCATTCTCAGCAATCACAAGGACAAAAAAAACAACAACAACAAACACTGCATGTTCTCACTCATAGGTGGGAATTGAACAATTAAAACACTTGGACACAGGAAGGGGAACATTGCACACTGGGACCTGTTGTGTGGTGAGGGGAAGGGGAAGGGATAGCATTAGGAGATATACCTAAAGTAAATGTCGAGTTAATGGGATGAGCACACCAACATGGGATATTTATACATACGTAATAAACCTGCACATTGTGCACATGTACCCTAGAACTTAAAGTATAATTTAAAAAAGAAAAAGAAAAAGATAATTTAGGGTACCTGGCAATGGAAATTTTAAAGCAACAAAGTATTCAAGAGTAAGCAGAACATCAAAGTTTAGAAAATTTGCAGCCTGAAGATGCAATAGAAAAGAAACACCCATTTTCTGGTGAGAAATACAAGCCTTTGCAGAAATTTGCATAAGTAAAAA